ATAGGATCAATATTTGCTTCAAATGGCTGACAAAATCAATTATTTTTAATATATTTTGATATCTTTTATATGGGTTTTGTCAACTTAATTAGCCTTTTTGGCCTTAATTAATTATTAATTGATTTAATATATTTTATTTTGAATTATTATTTTATAGGGGTAAAATTGTCATATTTTGGTTTATTTTGGTTTTATTTTGGTTTAATTTTTTGAGGACAATTAATGCTACCCTTTTTTTAAATTTTGTTTGCAGGTTTTTGAAAGATTTAAAAATAAAAATGAAAAATAAAGAAAAATAAAAGAAAAATAGAAAAAAATATAATAAAAAGATAATTAAAAAGAAGGGGGCAAAACGCTACCCCTTAATAACCTATTATTCAAACGATCATCATTTGGGGACGGAGATGCCAGCAAGTTGAGGGGCGGCGAAAGAAAAAAAACAGAGCCAGCGAACTGACGACGAGAGAGGACCAACGGTGAGGAAGAGAGAACGAAGGACCAGAGCTTCACTGCAATCACACTTTCTCTCCTCTGAGTCTTCATCTTCCATCGACAATATCTCTTCTTCTTTCTTCTCCACGATTTCTTCCTGGTGGCAGGACAGAGGCACACACATGAGCTGGAGAAAAGAAGGAGAGCTAGCGGGAAGAAAAAGAAAAGAGGAAGAATGAACAACTAGAACGTGAGGGGCGCTTGGCGGCTATGTGTGTGGCACTATTCATCATCTTCTTTCTCTCTGCGTTGCGCAACAAAACCAGAGGAGTGGCGGCCAACAGAGACAGATAGCGACGGCGTAACAGCACCAGAGACCAGAAAACATGATGGTTAGGAGCAGCTAAATACTTCCAATTCTCTAGAGCAATGGTTACGGCTTGAACTTAGAGCTTCAAATGGGAGTTTCGGCTCTTCCAATTTTTGCTTCTTTCATTATAATTCTCTAGAGCAATGGTTACGGCTTGAACTTAGAGCTTCAAATGGGAGTTTCGGCTCTTCCAATTTTTAGGTCTTAGAATGAATTTTATAATGTTTGAATGGGTTGTGATGGTTTATATTTGTATTGAGTTTGGTTGTAGTTGTTAGAATCTTTGATTAGCATTTAACATTATGTTATGATTAGCTTTAATTTCTTTAAATTGTACTGGGTCAGACTATATTTTGAAATTATTATAAACATTCGGTGGTAATTCAAGGTGGCTTGGTTATTGGACTAAAAATGGTAATTGCTTTTCTTTGATTTTCTTTTTGGCTAATTGTTCTGAAACAGTTTAATTGTGAATAATTAATATGCAAGGTGGCTTGGTGTTGATTATTCTAATTAAACCGAGTCTGAGGGGTGGCCCTTAGAGTCTTTTGAATTTAGCTAACTCCCAAATTAATTGAAGTAATGATAGCCGTAATCATTGTGCTAGAGGCTTGCTTTTCCATTTGCTATCACTTGTTAATTCACTTTGCTTATTTCATTCATATCCATTTTATAAACTAAAAATCTAAAAATTATTTACTCATTTTGCATCCTTTTAAATTTTGCCAATTAGTTAATTAAAAAGAAAATCAATTCCTTTTCAAGTCAATTCTTTATTTTTGATATTTGGTTTGCTTAGAATTTCAAATAAAGGCTCCTCAAAGTGAAACGACCTGTGTTTTGCACTATATTGCATTGCTTGGATTTATTTTTGTTTAGGAACCCCAAGGCGAACGACAAAGGCTCTCATCAATGGCTCCATTGGTAAGCTTCAACCAATTAACAAAGCAAGACAAACTATTAAAGCCAAGTTGACGAGTTAAGAGCAAAATATTCACAATTAACCCAAAATCCACAACTTTGGCCCAGGTATCAACTATGCACATTTTCCTATCATAAATACTTTCAAATATGCATTAATTCATCAAAAAGTATGATAACTAAGGGAAGAGGTGCTGAAATAACATAAATTTCACAAGGTTAACAATCATTTCCACAATTTACTGGGGCTTGTTATATATATATATATATATATATATATATATATAGGAAAAATACAACTTTTAGTCCCTCAAATTTAAGCCCATTTGGGTTTGGGTCCCTGAAATTTGAGACTTGAGAGGTATTGGTCCCTGAAATTTACTCCATTACAAAACATTAGTCCATGGTAGTTAGATGCCGTTAAACTTTGCTGAGCTAGGACAAACAGTGTTAGTTATAATGATTTGGCTTCTAACTTAGCAATATGGCACGGGGAGCTGGATATCTAATTAGGGGGGGGAATACCTAACTCAAACTGGTTACAAAGGCAGGAAAAACTTTAAAACCAAATAAAAAAGAGATTACACGCACTACAAAGAGAGATTAATAGAAATAAAAATTGATGACTCATGTTTCACGAGATGAATTAGGTGGGGCATCGAAGAAGGACCGAGGGCTTGGCTGCTGACTGGGGGGTGGGGGTGTTTGGATGCAGTGCGGGTAACCGGAGACTGAGAGAGTTACTAGAGAAGACGAAATCGTAGCCCGCGAGAACAGCAGTTTTGGAGGTGAGGGAAAAAAAAAATTATGGCTAGGGCCTTTATTTGGGTGAGAATGATGAGGTGAAGTCAAGGGTGCGGGAGTTCGGTGCCGCAACAAGGCCGTCGGCTGAGACTCGATAAAGAAGAGTGAATCGATGCCAGGGGTGACAATGGTGAGGGAGGCAATAGAAAGTGGTGGTTTTGAGTGCGTTGCAGGATTAAATTTTCGCCTTCAAGGTTTAGCTACCATCCACTTAAATCTTTCTTTTCTTACCACCTTTCAATGGTGTGATTGCAGTTGTTCTCTTTCGCTATTACATCCGTGTGAAGCAAAGATTTTCGTTTGAGTTTGAGTGGACAATTTGCTAATGTTCAACTTGTTAAATCTTTTATGTTTCTTCTTTGCAAATCAGTCCATGAAAATGTTTAGCATAATTAAGTTCTCTTTATCAATCTGTTTAAATATCTCAACGCTCAACTTCTTCTGGGTAAATCCGGTGCATAGGCCTCTTAATCAACCCGTTCAGCTTCTGTACTGGTGGTTGCATAAATTTGTCTCGTCCTCCGGTCCTCCCTTCCTAGACCCAGCTTTCCCCCATCTCTACCTGGAAATATCTTTCCTCGGTTTGAAGGAAGCATTCTTCCCAACAAAATTTTAATAACAATTCAACGGAAGCAAACAAAAACATAGCACACTCACTGCTCAACAAAAACAACACGGATGCTCAAACTGACAGGTCAATGCTTTACAATACAATGAAATCAAATAAACACCCTCTTGATGCTCATGCCAACGACTTCTGGAAAAGAATTAGAAATAGAGCATGCATGAACTGAAAACAGGGGGCTTTTTTTCTTCTTTTTTCCCCCTAATCAGATATCCAGCTCCCCACGCCCTGCTGCTAAGTCAAAAGCCAAATCATCATAACTGACACCGTTTGTGCCAGCTCAACAAAGTTTAATAGCGTCTAACTACCAGGGATTAACAGTTTGTAACGAAGTAAATTTCAGAAACAAATACCTCGGGTCTCAAATTTTAGGGACCAAAACCTAAATGGGCCTAAATTTGAGGGACCAAAAGTTGTATTTTCCCATATATATTTATTAAAAAGGCTGAGAGATAATAATATCCAATTAGCAGAAAATAAGAAAATTATGACTTTTGATCCCTAAACTTCTCCTCAATTATCGATTCAATCCTTAAATTTTTACTGTAACTTGGAACAACTTAGTTTTCATATTTTCTTGACTTGAAACAATTTAGTTCCTATAATTTCTTGACTAACTACATTACAAGGACCGAATTATAATGAATCAAAGCCTAGGAGTTTAATCGATAATTGAAAAAATTGTAAATATTATATGTGGATTTTGAAATTTGATCTCATTTTGGTTTTATTCCCTGAAATTTAAAACCAATTGTTTTGGTCATTGAAACCTCGTCTCAGATATGACCAAAAACATTATTCTGGGGACCAAAAGTATTTAGGTGAACCAAAATGCCTAAATAGTTTCAAATTACTAGTTTCAAATTTCAAGGATAAAAAACCAATTGAAGAAAACTTTGAGTGACTAATTAAAGATTATATTAACCCCTCAGAGACTAAAGTTATACTACCTTTGGTCCTTTTTATAAGATCCTATTAATTAAACTATACGGTTTAAGGAAATAGTTAAAATTAGTTAAAAGTAATAAACATGTAAAAATTAAACCTCTTTTTTTCAAATATATCCTCATTTAATGAGACAGCAAATAAGAAAGAGAAATAGTAATTAGGAGATAAAAGATGAAAGAGAATAGAAAATTAACTAGGGACAAAATTGTTAAAAACATATTTAATGTTCAAACAATCATTAATAAGATCTTATAAGAAGGATCAAACCAATTCAAATTTTGGAATCCGGAGGGAGTATTTTCTCTCGAAAGTATTATAACACAACATATATTATACTCTCTCCCCTAAATATAAGTTATATTGTGAAGGCTTTTGTTTTGTCTTCAATATAAAATCTCATTTTTTTTTATTTTATCTTTCTCATAATACCCCTATTTATGATAACATTACTATTTTATATCTAATGGCAATGATGCTTCAGAAAAAAAAAGTCACAAATTTTCTACATATTAATGACAATAATTACCTACTTTTATATTTCATGAATTAGTTAAAGGGACCTTATATTTAAGAAAAGAAGAAATGGAATCCAATAGAAGTTTCATTTGAAAAAAAAAAAACACATGTTAATACAATCTTTGATCTTTTAAATTTGCAATCATTTTGGTTTTGGTCCCTTAAAGACAAAATAGTTTAGGTTTTTATTATAGTATAAGAACTGATGTTTTAGACGAAAAGAAGTTTAAGGAACCAAAACCTATGATTTGAAATTTAAGGAATTAAAACTAAAATGAAGGTAAATTTGAGGGACAAAAAATCATATTAATCCTAATTAATAACTAAGGACGAGAGGTTGTGCGTATATGTGTGAATGGATTCATGGGAGCAGGTTTCATAAGCATGGATTGCGGAGCAGGCAAAGATTATTTGGATGAAGTGACAGGGATTCGGTCCAAGACAGAAGAGGGCTTCATTGAAAGCGGAACCAATCACGGACTAGCCCCCAACATTAACTTCAACAATTGTGCTCCAACCATAAACCGGCAACTAATGACCGTGAGAAGTTTTGTGGAGAGAGAAAGAAACTGTTACGCTCTAAAACCAAAGCAACAGAATAATCAGAAGTATTTGATCAGAGCCATATTTGCATATGGCAATTATGACCTGAGAAACCAAGCTCCAGTGTTCGATCTTTACCTGGGGATCAATTATTGGACCACGGTTCGAACATTTCCTAATGGTCCCCAAATCTTTCCAACTGAGATAATAATGCAGCAGGATGGCACTAGAGAGATGGTTCAAGTGTGTTTGGTGAACACAGAACAAGGGACACCTTTCATCAACGCTTTGGATTTGAGACCATTGAGCAACTCTCTCTATCTGGCTCCGCTTCCCCTTATTGTGGATTTCACTTTTCCTGTAAGAATGGACTTGGGCTCTGGGCTCATGCCCACTGATACCAGGTATGCTCTTCCTAACTTTGCCCTCACTTTCCCTTTGTCTTCCCCATTTTTCGTCTTGATTCTCATGCTAATAACTCAAGTTTTTGTAATTAATCTATGGTATTTTAAAAACTCCAACTTCTTGTGTGTCTGTGTTGCTGTGGCGCTACATCTCAGTGATTGAAGAACCGAACCGGGCTAGATGGTTAGACCGTCTAATCCAGACTTGCTAATGGCCTAATTTGAAACAAAAAAACTGTTTTCATGTTTGAATTGGATTAGATTAGAGCTGAGCCGCTATTGAGCCGGGAGTCGAAATAAAACCAAGAACAAGAATAATTTTTAGAAAACCGAATGATTTTTTTGGCATCATGGAAAATGAGGAAAAAAGTTCAATAAAAACCTATAAAAGAACAATTGACTCTTTCTCCCAAAGTTCATAATTTTTTTAGTCAATTTGTAGCTATATGGTGTTATTTTATTTAAAAATTCATATGCTATGACATTATTATCCTAATAATTAGATTTGTTATGAATTAATTTCTTTTATATATATTAATAGTATTTATATAATTAACTTTTATTAAATTTTTTTAATTGTCGCATCACCGGTTTGAACGGAAAATATGCTTTAACAGTGGTTAAAAAGTTGTGTTTGTTGCGGTTTTAACTGCTAATATATATTTTTTTTAATGATTTCTCATGCTGCTTGGGTTTATCTTTGACTCCAAATATGAGTTTGGCACAAAAGGGCATCAAAATCCTGCAATCTATTCCCTAAAACATTCTATTACTACTTTTGGTCCTTAATATAAAAATTAGATAACTAATTTGGGAATATTAAAAAAATAGTTAAGTTGCTTATCAGTCACAAATGTGTGTTGGTCTTATTAAACTATCCTCTTCAATTATTTGTATCGGATGATTGTAATTCTCTCAGTAGGAATCCCTTACAATCAATAGAGATATTTTAGAAAAATATGAAAAACAAAATGGATTGAGATTTTATATTTAGAACCAAATTCAACCCCTAACTACCAGAGGTAATATTATATATCTTGAGCCATTTGATCGCCGTGACATTCTTGGGACATTGACTCATCTAGCATCGTAGTCTTCTAAACTTAGTCTAGCTTGAGTTTTTAGGTTCAAAATTTGGGATATACAAAAATACCAAAAAGAAAAAATTTTTATACTAAATGTTAATGAATAGTTTCTTTCACTAGACATTCTGAGTAACAAACAATGTTGTATTATTTTGAGTTTTTATTTTGTTTTTTTTAACTTTAAGTAAATTTCTATGTATTTTGATAAATTAGATGTCTTGAACTATTAAAAAAATGGGATTAATAAATAATTTTCCTAGATATTTTTGAAAATATAGATACAAAGACGATGTGTACGATCGCCTATGGTGGAACAATGATAATACCGATTGGGATCTCTTAAAAACAAGAGAAGAAGCAAAGGTAGAGGATTCCCTTTATGAACTGCCGCGGGAAGCATTGCGCACCGCATCACAACCCCAGAATCATTCCACTCTCTTAACTGCAAATTTCAGTTATTGGAGATATGGTGATAAGTCCGCCCAATATTATATGTTCCTTCACTTTGCTGAAATTGAAAAGCCTCCTGCTGGCCACAAGAGGATCATTAATGTCACTTTTGATGATGATGAAAACTCCCTCTCTCATGAACTTACCCTTCGATACTTGAAGCCTATTACCCTAATTTCCAACAAGGTCACCAAAGGTCATATAAACTTCACTATCAAAGCAGCAACTAATTCATATGCTCCTCCTATCCTAAATGCATTTGAAATTTATAAAGTGACTAAAGAACGAACCGTTAGTTGCTTTAGGTCTACTTCAAAAATTAACCGAATTAATACAATACAGTGCACGATCAGGGTCATATTCACTTTAGGGAGCCTCTAAAAAGATCCTAAGTAACTAAGTATGCAAAAGATAAGAATTGACTTGGAAAGGGATTGATTTTCTTTTTAACTAACTAAATGACAAAATTTACAAGGATGCAAAATGAGTAAGTAATTTTTGGATTTTTAGTTTATAACATGGATATGAATGAAATAAACAAAGAGAATTAACAAGTGATAACAAATCAAAAAGCAATCCTCCAGCACAATAATCTAGGCTATCATTACTTCAATTAATTTAGGAGTTAGCTAAATTCAAAAGACTCCAAGGGCCACCATTTGGACTCGGTTTAATTGGACTAATCAATACCAAGCCACCTTACATATTAATTATCTACAATTAAACTGTTTTAGCACAATTAACTAAAGATAATCAAAGGAAAGCAATTAAAATTTTAAGTCCAATAACCAAGCCACCTTGAATTACCACCGAATATTTACAATAATTTCAAAACATAGTCTAACCAAGTACAATGTAAATAAATTAAAGTTAATCATATCATGATGTCAAATGCTAATAAAAAATTCCAACAACTACAACCAATCTCAATACAAATATAAATCATCACAGCACATTGAAACATTATAAAATTCATCCTAAGACCTAAGAATCACAGATAAAATGAAAGAAGTAAAGATTAGAAGAGCTGAAAACTCCCCTTTGAAGCTCCAAGTTCAAGCCATAAATACTGTGCTAGAGAATTGAAGGATTTAGCTAAGGCTCTGCATTACTGAAGCTCCACCATATGCTTCGATAATCACAGCCATATCAGAACAGTGAAGGAGTCGATGGGAGAATCAGAGAAGTACCGAGGACGGTGACAATGGTAGACTTGAAAGGAGGTGGGAGAGAACAATGATGGTGGTGGATGGAACTGGACCGATGGAAGATGAAATTTCACTGGAGAATGGGATATGGCGTCGCTGCTCTGTCTCTAATCACTCTGCTCTGGTCTTCCCTGCCTCCAGAACGTGAATGGCAGCAATGAAGAAGACAGCAAACTGGAGAGAAGTGCAGGGAGAAAGAAAATGATGATGATGGGATGACGAAGGGAAGGCGTCGATAATGGAGGTGTGTGTGTGTGATTCTCCATCAAGCTCTGATCCTTTGTTCTCCTTCTCACGCCTCCCTTTGTTTGCTCACTACTGTCACTGGTCCCTCTACCTGCTGTTCTGATTGAAGACGATGATGATGAGTTATCTTTAGGGCAGGTAGTAAAATGCACCATTTTACTACCTGGCCCTCTTATTATTATTTTTAAATATTTCTTTCTCTTTTTTTTCCTTTTCTTTTCTTTTTTATTTTTATTTTTAAGCCTTCCAAAAACCTGCAATTAAAAATTGAAAGATAGGTAGCATTAATTGTCTTTAAGATCAATTAATCACAATTATGACCAATTTGCCCCTATTATGCACTAATTTAAGGTAAAACACTACTATGAATTATACTCAAATAATGCAATTAAGGACCAATAATAATGACAAAAACCCACTAAAAAGATATGAAAATACGTGTAAAACATAGGTTTGTTAGTGATCCTGCAACCAAATCCCCCTACAGTGGAACAAGATGGTAATTCCCTTTTATTATTACCTCCTTTTTATATCATTTCTTTGTCTTACTCATCAATAATTTCATTCTAAAACAACCGTACGCTGACGTAGTTGTTCTGTTTATTATTGGAAATTATATGTGTAGTCAAAGCTATCATGGAAATCAAGCAAATCTACGGCGTCTCCAAAGTCGGTTGGGAAGGTGATCGATGCGTTCCATCTAACTTAGCTTGGGACTGTCTGAATTGCAGTTATGACAATAATATAAGAATCATCTCACTGTAAGTTGTTATCTTGTTATATTTGAAGCATTCAAGAAAAATATAGTATTAGGAGTTTATATTAATATGTCCAGGAGCTTCTATTTCTTTGGTCATATAACATACCATGCTAGTCCTTATTATTTGTCACTTGTAAGGAAGGATTTTGGCCCTCTTTATTTATCATTTGTACCATTTAATGCTTTATTTCCAATTCTTCCCCCTATTAATTATAGTAAAGTTGAAGAGAGAGGGAATGAGTTAGAGAAAATACTAGTATTTAATGCTCTTCTTAGAAAGGACAAAGGTAAAAGATTTCATCCATTTAAGACTTTTCTTGGTATATGAGAGACTCCTACTGTCACAACTATCCCTTATACACCAATAGAGTTATTCTATTCAATCTCGAATCATTAAAAGTCAGGATCCAATTCTTCGGAAGACAATTATTTTTTTTTAGTTCCCAAATACAAAGTCTGATCCTGTTCAAGGAATGGGATTTTCTGAAAAGTTTTAAACCTTTCAAAATTCACTTTCAAGTAATCTGTCTAGTGGTTCGAGTACTCACTTTAACCTTTTTACAAAAATGGTAAAAACAGTTAAAAACCCATGGTTCATATTCAACCATCGAACCCATTTTTTTTCTATCCACCTTTTGGATCCCATATCAAATCAATTATAGCCAGTAGTATTTAACATTCAACATTCTGGCCATAGGCTCGTACAACGAGTTACATATATAGATACACATAATTTTAGACAAAATAATAACTATATATCAAAATATTGATCATTTCCTTCAATAGCAATTACCATGGTTTATCTGCCCTTAGCCACCTCCTTATGGAGGAATATTTACATATCAAAATAGATATACAATATATCTTCACTTCAAAATAAGATGCATTTTAAGCAAAATATATATACACAAAAGATCGCCAGCTTCCTGCACCTTTAAACTCCACCGATCACTACTCCCTTGCCCTTAGGAGTACTTGCTCTTGCTGTATTACATGGAAGAAGGGGTGAGATTCTAAAGAATCTCAGTAGTAACAAATTTCCTTCACGTAATCATACAAGATCACAAACAACATGCTACATGTAACATCCTAAGTTTGATCGGGTTTTAATAGCCTCTTTTGGGTTGATTTTGAGGATAGATTAGTGATTTAATCTTGATCTGGGTGTTTGGGTTGAATTTGAGGTTGGTTGGAGGTATAGGTGAACGTACCCCTCTCAGGGTATGTTCGCCCCGGGAGTTCCTAGTAGGCTATGTCTTTCGGGCAGGTTTGGCCGCGGCGAAGTCTTGGGGATGCCGCGGCGAAGTTGTTCAGGTGAGCGAGGCTTCCCTCTCGGGAAGGTTTCGCCGCGGCGAAGGTAGGGTATGCCGCGGCGAAGGTTGTCTGGGCGAGCGAGAGTTTCCTCTCGGGAAGCTTTCGCCGCGGCGAAGTCGGTTTTTCAGGCGAGTAATCCCTCTCGGGATTAGTTCGCCGCGGCGAAAGGTCGCAATTCTATATAATCGCTGGAGGGTTCAGATGTGCGAAAATTGGAAAATCTGAAGGAGGAGAGAGAAGCTCTGCTAGGGTTTCGTGGAGGAGGCTTGAGAAAGGCATTTCTAAGGATCCATTACCTCAAGTAAGTAATTTTAACCTCTAATCTTCTTTCTTTCTTTCTTTTTTGGTGAAACCCTAGATTTTCTAAGTTGTGATTGAACTGAGGTTTTTGACCGATTGTTTTGAGTTTAATTGATTGCATTGGGTTAGTTTAAGTATTTAATCGGTGTAGTTTCCTTGGATTTAAAGAATCTTGAGTTTTGAAGTTAGGGTTTATGGAATTGGATGATTTGGGATTGAGGATGATAATGTAGAGATTGATTTTGAGCTTTGTGAATTGGGTTATGTTAAGGAGGGTTAAATTGGAGGTTTAATCGGTTTAGAATTGTTGTTGGAACCTTAATTGCTCAAATGGGATGTTGGAGGTTGAATTCCTATAGTGGATCCTTGAGGTTTGAACTCTAATTGATGCTTGGAAGGAGACTTGATGTTTTAATAGACTTTGAGGACTTTGGAGTGTTGTTTTGATAGTTATACCCTTTGAGTTGGGTAGAGTTTTGATGGGAGATAGGAATTTTGTATCCCCAAGTGTTGTTTTGGCCACATTATTAGTTTGAGAGCTAATATATGTTGGTTGTGTGTTTGTGTGCTTTGTAGACCGGTTGTGAGTCTTGGTGGTGCACGGGGTCACATCGTTGGTTTGTTATTCCTTGCTCAGGCGAGAGGTAACCACTTTCCAATCCTTAGTACTTACTTCTGTGGTATTGTGAGTAGATTTGTGTTTTGTGCTCCAAATAGTAACTGTGTTCGAACTATATATTGTATATGATAATGGAAAACCGTCTTGTGGGGTTTGGATTTATGATGAATGAATTTGTGGAATTGTGAAAGATATGCCACTGAACGAGGTTAATTGTGAAATGATTATTACTCTTGATTATGATTTGAGCATGATGCATTAATTGGGAAATTTGGTGAGAGTTTGATAGTTACTACCACGTGGTAAGGCCTCCATTAATGCATGATGGTTGGCTCTTTACGTCCCCCATAGTGAGGGATAGGCCTTCGGGCTCATTACGTCCCCCAGAGTGAGGGATAGGCCTTTATGGCTCCTTACGTCCCCCATAGTGAGGGATAGGCCGGGTTCGGCTCCTGAAAATCCCCCAAAGTGAGGGATTTGGTTGATGGGATTGCATCATTACACATGCATAAATTGTTGTGGCTATCATTATGTATTATTTGTGAACTGCCCCACTCGACACCTCACGAGCACCTATTTAGTAGTACCTAGTATTGGAAAGGCTGGTTACTGGGACTTTGTCTCATGTAACATCCTGATTTTTGGACCTAGAAGTATCAAAAATAGCCTAAATGAGATAGGCTACCAGACCCCTTTTTAGTAGAGGTCTTAAAGATGAGAAAGAAAGTTAAAGCAGTTTTAGGGACTAAACTGCAAAGTGAATGTTTTAAGGGGCTAAAGGGTAATCAAAGTTAGAGGCTCCAGTAAAGTCTCAAAGGCCCAGAAAGAGAAAAGAGGCTAGATACAAACCAAAGGTTAAGTTAGAAGCCTCAAAGAGATTGTTTTATGAGGTTGAGCCTAAGCAGGGGTAAAACCGTAAATTCAGAAAGTTACGGCCATCAGAGGTAAAAATGGAAAGTACTTAGAAAATTCTAAGAAAATCCCAGAAAATGGGAAATAATATTCTAAGACTCTTTTGTGAAGAGAGATGATGAAAATACCCCTGAGGTAACTTAAAAGGAATTTACAAGTTTATGGCTCAATTTAAGATGTAGAGGTAGATTTAATTGTTTGAGTCATAAGGAAACCTCAGAAAATTATGGTAAAATGGGGATGTATGATCTAAGAGACTGTAGAAAATTATAAAATTAGTCTCATCCCTAGAAGACAAGCAAAATGGCTTTAAGAATACTTAAAAGCCAGTTGTACCCAAAAAAGGCATTTTAAAGAATGATTTTTAAGTGGGGCTATAGGTTGAGTTAGGACCTGAGAAAATTTACAGATTTTCTCTAGAATATGAGGAATTTTATGATATTTTTGGATGAATTTTTGGAGCTCTGGACTGAATAAAATGCTCCAGTCAAATATTAAATAATTTTGTCCCCTAAATAGGAGACAAAACCAAAGAAAATATCTAAAAGCCATCATGACGATGCTGAGTCAGCATGCTGAGTCATCAAGCTTAATCATGACACCGACGAGTCATCATGCTGAGTCATCAAGCGTAATCATGACACCTACGAGTCATCATGCTGAGTCACCAGAAGATATTTATGGACAGCATAAAAATCAGAACGCAGTATGGGAATATTTTAGACAATCTTTTGTCTACCCATTATAGCGAAATCTCTACTGCATGACTCAGTAAGGTTAAGTAGCCTATCAGTAGAGCTAATTATTTTCATCTATGCTCCTCTAAGGTGGCACCATATATGTACTTAATTAAGATGAGAAAATAGTGTCAGAACATGTCCTGGTGGTACAGGGTAAGTCAGGACCCGAAAAGTATCTGATATGGTGCAAGATTGGCTTGATAGGTGGAGAAATAATTAAGGAGATATTTTTGCACGAATTTCCATTTATTTTCTCCCTATTTTAATGCCATAAATGATGAAAGGACATAAAAGTGACAAGTGTACGGTTAGATGAGAAAAAGAAAATATTACGTGTACGGCTAGATGGAAGACACGTGTACGGTCGGATGCAAGGCACGTGTGCGGTCGGATTAAAGACATGTGGCTTGATGATGTAAGCATGATGTCATCATGATGAGGTAAGCATGATGTCATAGGACACTTGTCACCGTAAGATCAAAAGAGAAAATGGACGGTCCAGATCGAGCCACGTATTTTTAAGATCAACGGTCCAAATTCGGTCTGTTTTTCTATAAATACCCCCTCCCCTCCCTACCATTTCGTCCAAGCATAAGGAATCCATGGGGAAGCTCTTGCAAAATGGTTTCTAGAGAGAGAAAGAAGAGGGAGAAAGAAAGGCCAAGTGGTTCCAAGCCAGATCAAACTCTAAAACACGGTATGTGGTGGTTATAGCACCTGATTTTATGCCTATTTCGGATTAGTTACTGTGCGTATCTGATTCTGAAATTTTGCATGCTTAAAGTACACTCTGTGAGCTTTAAATCCATAGGTAGAACACTTCATTTGGATATGTGTACGATTTATGGTGATTTTTCAAAGTTAGGGTTTGAAATCTGGAAACAGTGTTGAACTTTTGGAAGAGTTTCGAGTTCCGTACAGTTCCGGTACTGTTCAGCGTAGAACTGGTTCCTGAAACTATTTTTCATTTAAATTTAACTTAAGGATCTTTCAGTGAGACTTGGAAGCACTCAATTTGGAGTTTTCTAGAATTAATTATGAATTTTCAAACTTGAGCAAAAATTCTGGAAATTCTGCGTGAACAGTACCCGCGAAGCAAAATTTCCAGATTTGGTATTCTTGAATCTAAGGCCATCTAAAGTGGTCCTAATTGACAAGAAATGGATCTTAAGGATGGGAAATGATAAGATTTATGTTAGAAAAGTTGGAAAGAAAACCCTAAGACTAAGAGAAAGGGTTGAGGTTCAAGAAAGCTAGTCTTGAACTTTATGTAATCTAGTGGTCCTAATGGTTTGTATGATCAATGTGACTATGTTTAGGACCTTTGGAACATCCAAGAGGATGTTTGGTGATGTTGACGGAATGTCCACATGGTTGGAAAGGCAAGGAAACCAAAGGAAAAGCAAGGGGAAAGCCATGTTACAAGGTAGTGAACTTACCTATACTGTGTGCTTGATATGTATGCTTGCATGATGTGATTGTGTTGCCATGATGTGACTAAGCTATGATGAAATGTTTGCAAAGTTATGTTTGCAAGTTTATGTTATGTTTTGCCTTGGCAATATGTTATGGAAGCATGAAATGCTTTAGCTTACTTTCCATGGCATTCATGTGTTAATGTTATAACATGTCATGCATGTGCATTATGTCTTGCATGCTTATGGGTAGTGTTTGCTACTGAGATTCTCCCGAATCTCACCCCTCCCTAACCAACCATTTAGGTCAGTCAATGATGGGCAATAATGGCATGAGAAGCAAGGAGAAGTAAGCGGAGAATTATTCTTGTTAATGGATGAGACTGTTGATATATGTATAATTCTACTATTTTGTGAACTATGTTATGGATGCCAATGATACCATGTATTTAATTATAATATTTATGGCGTAAATGAAAGTGTATGAGCATGAACGGGAAAGAGTAAGGCCATGTTATGTATGCCAAAGAAATAAAAAGAATTAAAGAGATGTTAAGGGATAAAACGTAAGTCCTGGAGCAGTGAATTTGTAGCTCAGTTTGACCTATCAAACGAGTGAGTTAGGTCATAAGATTTGGCAAGCAAAGAGATCTGATGTTTCTATTTAAAATGAGGGATAGTTTGCCCGATTCCGATAACCGAGCAGAAAGTTATGCCTTTCCAAAGTTAGGCAAAAATACAGTAAAATCCGAAAATGACCAAATGAACAGTAAATTTTTCAAAGGAAATTGAGCTCGAATTTCAAGGCAATCAGTTCAGAAACTATTTTTCCTCAAAATTTTATCCAAAGAGCTTTCTGTAGAACTTAGAATCACTCAATTTCAATTTTTCTACAATTAGTTATGAATTTTCGAAGTTTGTCACATTTTAAGGTGACAATGAATAGTAACCCGTAAATGAAAATTTTCAAACTTGATTTTTCATCAATTGTAGCCTTCAAAAGTGATTCCAAATGCTTCCGCAAGGAAAGTTAATTGGTATAAATATAAGGTGTTACATCTCACCCCGTGGTTTACAATGTTTTCAGGTGAAGGTTCTAGGCGTGGGCCTTCGGGAAGAGACGCGGAGGCTTGAGCTTGGTTAGCTTTAGGCCTCTAGCTTTATTTATGTATGGATAGTTGTATATTGCCACAGCTAGGGTTTTCTTGAAATATTTTGATTCCCGGCCTTATTGTAAATTGGAGAATACATTATCTACTCGTTTTGTTGGCCGGAGGCCATTGCTATTATTTTATGGAACTTTGTTATATGGTTGAAAACGAATTGGATGGGCTGATTTTGATGTATGTGTTTACCCGGGCCGGAGGCTCGGAGGCCCAGTAGATATGAATGGATTATTTTAGTTGCATGCAACGTCTATCGGGTTGACCCGAGTTTGAAAGTTAATTTCTAAAAATATGAAATTTCCTTCTACTATGGTAGCTCGTATTAACAACTTTCCTTTCTACCATAGTAGAGGTTTTGTGATGGGTTAAAATGTCTTGAGGTAGAGGGTTCTTACACTACACAGGCCAAAGAGAACAACACCTTGCATCCAAATATAATCAATGATGCACATACACCATACACCCATATAGCCAATCGCTAGCTATTGCGCCCACATTCCAAAATAAATGGAAACCAACACATATTGTCATGACAATTATTATCATGCAAAGGCAACTTACATGTTCTCATGCACAATCAGCATAAAGGCACGTCCAAGCATGTGACAATCAATGCACAATCACATTAAAGGAAAATAGTTACTACCTTTTGCTTTTTCTTCTGTATTCCCTTTCCCTTGTCTCCTTTCTTAATGGATTCGAACAAATATCAAATCTTATAAATTATTTGAGCAAGGGCAGATTAATATATATATATATATCTAGATATTCATCTAGAGCGTTACATTAACACATTAACACATTCCTTATAATTTAAATCCTTTATGATCATTTTAACGGGGCATCACGTTTAACTTCCATCCTCTTAAGACTCCTATTTGACATACATATCTATAATATAACACTTATATAAGCCTATAAACTTCCTATTTAAACATTTTGCATTTGGACACCCTAAACACCATCTATAATTCGAACAGCACCATTCTGCCACTGTTTCTAAATTTTTCCAGCATCAAGCTTCAACTAAAACATTATTTTTATTCCTCATTATACATATATATATATATATTCACCCTCTACACCATTCCTTCAAAAATTCCAGATTGCCCTATCAATCAGGTATACGTAATTAATACCATGGGATTTAGTTTCATCCCTCAAATCATAACATCAACATTGCTGAGATAAACACCAAACATATACACACATATCATGCTTTAATTAGTGCCCAATCTCAACAATTTCCTTCGCTTGTGAAAATTCTAGATTTTGGCATTACTTTTCCATTTTAACTCCAAGAAAATCTGTTCACTATAATTCAGAACGTGGAGCCAAAACCAAAAGAATATATATAAAGAGCCCAATTCTTTCTCCCAATGCTCCGGTCTCAAAAGGCTTTGTTCTATATATCTATATATATATATATATATATATATTTATAGCTCATTCGTTTAGCATTCAAATGCTTCTTGACCAGCAAAATCGAACAGCGTCCTTCCATCATTAAGTCTGGAATTTTTCTTATTCAAAGCACACACTCTTTGATCCCTCAATAACCACACAGAGCATATAAAATCAACATATTATAATCATACAACCAGAAAATAATTAATTATATTTAGACTCGTTAATCATCTATTACCCAAACCAGAAGCCATTTCCTTAAATCCTCAAACCCCTGTTTTAGAAACTTTAACCAGAGTAATCAACCGTAAAAAGCAAGTGCAGACATCTCAACCACAAACTTCATCCTAACCATTAAGCACAATTTCTACAGCTTGGCTGTCATGCTCTTCACTTTCTCCCTCAAAAACCAGATTTCATCTTCATCATCGTCTTGCAACACATGACCAAATAACAGAAAACAAAGATGGAAGAAGATTCAGGAGACTCACCTTGTTTGATTTCCACTTTTAGATGAACCGATTCCCTCCTCTGATAGCCTTTCCTTTTCTTGATCTCTCTCAAACTCTCTCAGCTCTCTCTCTATTTTCACTTCGAAGGAGAAGATTTAGGAGACTCACCTTGTTTGATTTCCACTTTTAGATGAACCGATTCCCTCCTCTGATAGCCTTTCCTTTTCTTGATCTCTCTCAAACTCTCTCAGCTCTCTCTCTATTTTCACTTCGAATAGCAGAGGAAAATAAGAAGGGAGAAGATGTTAGGGCAGATTAAGTCGGTGAGGGGTGTGGAATGACCATTATACCCTTTCGTCTTCACTTTCCCTTCAATTTGATCCTTCTCTATTTTTCCAGGATAATAAGATAATTCCAGAAATCAAACCTGGATATTTTATATGAATTTTCTTCTTCTATTAGCTTCTTTAGTATATAAAATAATTATCCTAAAATCTCAGCTCAAAAATTATCCTCTAACTATTTTTCTTGAATATTCCAAGAAAATAGGTCTTAAATTCCTGAAATTAACTTTATAATTATTTAGCCCATATTTGAAAGGTCTTAATCTCAATAATTTCTCTAGAAATTTCTCTTTTATCATGCTTTAGTCAGATCCATAAAATTTGGGATATTACACCTACAAGTGATAAAAAATAAAGATAAAAGTGGTATGAGTTGTTGATTGCCTCTCCTTTAGTTTCTTAGCTACTGTGACAAAATTGTGAATTATATATAAATTATTGTAGGAACCTGAGCTCAAGCTAACTCACTGGAGTAATAGCTCCATTATTTGCTAGTTTGGAAAAATTGGAGTCCTTGTAAGTTGTTTCATTGGATAGATTCTAAACATTCAAATAGTATCAATTAATGAGGTTGTTCAATATTATGAATAACATTTACGTTTTGTTCACAGGGATTTGTCAAACAATGAACTGACTGGATCATTACCAGAATTTCTTGCATCTCTTCCTAATTTGAAATTCCTGTAAGGCAGCGCCTATCTAATATTATTGCATTACAGCTTTCATTCTCGGATTGTGAAGCCAAATAATCTTAAACTTCCCATTCTCTTTTGTTCTTTTCCATCTTACAGTAATGTTACGGGAAATAATCTCACGGGTCCAATTCCAAAGGCTTTGATGGAAAAGGCTAGTTTGGAGCTGAGGTTTACATATTTCTCCATTATCAAATTCTATTTTGCTTATGGTCCCCTTAAGTTGGGTTTACAATTATGACATCACCTATATGCTAGCACACCACGATGAACCTAAATCTTACCTGGATTTTATTTCTTCCTACGAAGCTTATTTTTTACTTTACTTTTTCACCGTCATGCTTTGAACATAAAATTATTCTATTATGGAAAGCCTCGCTCCCTCTCCTATCTTTGCATTGCACCCGAAAATAATGATAATTATTTTAAAAATTTAAAACTAATTATTTTATGTTTAAAATTATTATTGATACTTCATAAAATTATTATTAGCCTTATAGGCTTCAATATATCAAAGCTATTATTTTCATATCGATTCTCTAAAGTAAATGGAAGTCACTCTCTTTTATGTTAGCAAGTAATATATATCCAGTATCCACGTCTACAAGTCTATAATTGCTTTTTATTCAATACATCACCCTATAACGACAACCATAACATTGGTGCATGACAAACTCAATTATTTTTATATATTTTGATATCTTTTATATGGGTTTTGTCAACTTAATTAGTCCCTTTTGACCTTAATTGATCGTTAATTGATTTAATATATTTTATTTTAAATTATTATTTTATAGGGGGAAATTGTCATATTTTGGTTTAATTGTGACTAATTGATTTTTGAGGACAGCTAATGTTACCTTATCCTTGAATTTTGTTTGCAGGTTTTTGGAAGATTTAAAAATTAAAATTAAAATTAACAAAAAAAGAGAAAAGAAAAAAAGATAAAGAAAAGATAAAAAATAAATTAAAAAAATATAATAATAAAAGGGGGAGCAAAACGCAACATTTCCCCCAACCTAATATACAATTAATCATCATCATCTTCATATTCAGAGGAGCTGGACAGCACTGAGAAAAAGAAAGAGGGACCAGGGGACGCGCTCGACAGGGAGAGATTCAGCGTGAACGAATAGAGAGGTCCTTCCATCTGTCCAGTCCATCATCACCGACGCCTTCACCTTCTTCTTCTCTTGGGCACAACAGAACTAGAGGAGTGGCTGTAATATCCCAAATTTTATGGATTTGACTAAAGCATGATAAAGGAGAAATTTCTAGAGAAATTATTGAGATTAAGACCTTTCAAATATGGTCTAAATAATTATAAAGTTAATTTCAGGAATTTAAGACCTATTTTCCTGGAATATTCAAGAAAAGTAGTTAGAGGATAATTTTTGAGCTGAGATTTTAGGATAATTATTTTATATACTAAAGAAGCTAATAGAAGAAGAAAATTCATATAAAATTTCCAGGTTTGATTTCTGGAATTATCTGATTATCCTGGAAAAATAGAGAAGGATCAAATTGAAGGGAAAATGAAGACCAAAGGGTATAATGGTCATTCCACACCCCTCACTGACTTAATCTACCCTAACATCTTCTCCCTTCTTATTTTTCCCTTGCTACACGACTGAAACAGAGAAAGAGAGAGACGGTGGACTAGGGGAAGAACGAGGAAGAAGAGGAGGTGATTGAAGGAGACGATCGGTTCATTCAAAGGAGGAAATCAAGCAAGGTAAGCCTTGTGAACATTCTCCTACTCTTCTTTCTCTCATCCGTTGCAACTTTAGAAGAGGAAATGGAAGTTTAAAATTCTGGGTTATGGAGGAAAAATCAGTATCTAAATGTAACAAAAGTAGTAAAGTGTAGATAAAGGCTTGATCAAGTAAGTTATGGGGTTGTATATGTTGTTGATTTGCTTTTGGAATGTTTGAACCAAGCCCCTGTTCTACTTTTCTGTTGTGAGTGTTAGGTTTCATGAAAGAGAAGATGATGTTGTGATGTACATATATATATATATATATATATATGCGCGATGGCATGATGTTTACTCTTTCTTTTCTGAGATTTCGGTGACTGGTTTGGAAGTACACTTGGTATCTAGAAAAATTTTCAGATTTGTTGTTCAATGTAGCGTGATATGTAGGAGAGGAAGGGAGATGATTAAAGCCCAAAGTGAAGACATAAAGGAATATTTTGGAAGTGTGTATCTATATGAATATGTTGTGGTTGAAAGTGAAATTGTCGTGTAAGAGAGGTGGGCCCGTTGGATTTAGTGGAAAGGGAGATGGTCAAAAAGTTTGTGTATAGATTTATATATATGTGTGGCTGGTTATGCGTGTGAGAATCTGAAATTTTTGAAGCTAGAAATTGATGTAAATTTTGTGGAAATGCTAGGAAAGGTTAGCATTGAGTTAATGCTTTAAATATATATAATTCTGGAAAATTCTATAGATTAGGAAGAGTTGTTGAAATTAATTGAGTACTCATTCTTTAATGCATTTTAATGTTGAATATTGATTTGGGAAGGCAAAATCCAGATTTGGGACATTAAAGTAGTGGATAGAATGATGTTTATGAAGCTGGAATTTCAAGAAAGTATGGGTGAAATGTTGTTACTATTATAAATATTAAGTAAGGATGCTGAAAATATTCCAGGGTACATATTCATTTTTGAAAGAATTGGAATAAATAATCTACTTTACATAGATATATGTGTGTGTGTATTAATCTACCATTCCCTATATAATTTATAGGATTTAATATTTGCCGAAATCTATTAAGAAAGGAGCCAAGAAGGAGACAAGGGGAAGGGAATACAGAAGAAAAAGCAAAAGGTAGTAACTCTTTTCCTTTAATGTGATTGTGTATTGATTGCCACATGCTTGGATGTGCCTTTATGTTGATTGTGCATGAGAACATGTAAGTTGCCTTTGCATGATAATAATTGTCATGACAATATGCGCTGGTTTCCATTTATTTTGGAATGTGGGCGCAATAGCTAGCGATTGGCTATATGGGTGTATGGTGTATGTGCATCATTGATTATGTTTGGATGCAAGGTGTTGTTCTCTTTGGCCTGTGTAGCATGTTGTTTGTGATCTTGTATGATTACGTGAAGGAAATTTGTTACTACTGAGATTCTTTAGAATCTCACCCCTTCTTCCATGTAATACAGCAAGAGCAAGTACTCCTAAGGGCAAGGAAGTAGTGATCGGTGGAGTTTAAAGGTGCAGGAAGCTGGCGATCTTTTGTGTATATAAATATTTTGCTTAAAATGCATCTTATTTTGAAGAGAAGATATATTGTATATCTATTTTGGTATGTAAATATTCCTCCATAAGGAGGTGGCTAAGGGCAGATAAACCATGGTAACTGCTATTGAAGGAAATGATCAATATTTTGATATATAGTTATTATTTTGTCTAAAATTATGTGTATCTATATATGTAACTCATTGTACGAGCTTATGGCTAGATCCTACTGGCTATAATTGATTTGATATGGGATCCAAAAGGTGGATAGAAAAAGAATGGGTTCGATGGTTGAATATGAACCATGGGTTTTTAACAGTTTTGACCATTTTTGTAAAAAGGATAAAGTGGGTACTCGAACCACTAGACAGGTTACTTGAAAGTGAATTTTGAAAGGTTTAAAACCTTTCAAAAAATCCCATTCCTTGAACAGGATCAAACTTTGTATTTGGGACCAAAAAAAAAATAATTGTCTTCCAAAGGATTGAAACCTGGCTTTTAATGATTCGAGATTAAATAGAACAACTATATTGGTGTATAAAGGATAGTTGTGACAGTGGCGGCGAACCAGTGGAGTCGACGGCTTGAACGAGAACCAGAGAAGCTCGATGGTTTTCTTCACTCCTCCTTCAATATTCTTCATGGCTGGATATGGTAGACTGCTGAAGGTGGCATTTTTTATGGCAAACCGTGGCTAGCTTCATAATTCTCTAATTCAACAATAGTGGCAGGAGCTCGGATCATCAAAAGGGAGTTTAGTTACTTTAATTTCCTGTCTAATAATTGTTTAACAATTCCTAGGTCTTAGGATAGTTATTCTGATTATTAGAAGATTTTTATTGTTTAATCTGATTATATTTGGAGATTATTGTAACTGGATTATTGTTTAGCATTTGACATTGGGCTGTTTATAGCTTTAATTTCAATTATAATGTTGTGGTTATGATATTTGTATTGATTTTAAGTTAATATATTGTGATTTTCTGAGATGGCTTAGAATCTTGAATCATATTGTCTCTTACTAGCTTTAATTCTGTTGTTTTGTATTTAAGAGTTCTAATTAAACATTAGTTTTTAGTATCCTTAATCTCATTTTACTATTCTGATTGCAGTTAGTAAGTTGAGATTTTAGGAAAATATTTTGTGGCAATTCGAGGTGGCTCGATTGTTGGATTAAAAGCTTAATTATAATTCTAAATTCATTGTTTTAATTCCTGTATCTTTTGGAGTGAGGATTGCCTACGTTGTTGAATTGGAGGATTGATTATTATCATTGTTATTTGTATGTTTCATTTTCATTTCTTTAATCTTCATTTATTTTAATCATTTTTATATAAAAACAAAAAAGTATTTTAATTTCAATTTAATTCATGGTGTTTAATTAGCAATTATCAAATCAAAAATCCTTTTTCATAGTTTAGGTTACTTGCATTTATTTACTATGATTTAATTTTATTTTCGGCTCCTCAAAGTGAATACGACCCGGATTGTGCACTATATTGCATTAATTCAATTAATTTTGGAGTAACTCCAAAGCGACAAATTAAGGGCATATATTTCAGTGCACTTTAGAGAAGACATTGCTCCTATTATTCATTTGCTAGACAGCAGAATCCAATACTAAGGAGGTCTTTAGAATAACTTTTTAGAAGTGATTTTATGGAGTTCGAGTATATGAGAAGAATTTTGTCTTGACTTACGTGAAATGATTTTTTTGCCAGTTATTCAACATGCATGAAGCAATCACCATAATAATCGATGGATAGTTTTTTTTAATATATTAAAAAGTATAGTATTATCCCTATATTATTCAAGTCTAAGGCTGCTCTATTTTACCAGTATAGCCAACAATCCTGGTCTTGGTCCATCACATTCACGCAAAGAACACAAGTTTGCAATTCCACTTACTGCTTCATTTTCGACTTTAGTGATCGTCATTGTACTTGTATCTTTGGTGATCAGGAGATTTAAAATGAAAGCAGGTATTGATTTTATGCATGCTATCATTTCATTGTACTTGTTGATGTATCTATGTTGGTCCATTTATTATATACGAAGTGTCAAGATGTTTGATTTAATATTGCAGTTTTGTCCGTGAAATCCCGGAAGAAGAATGTTCTAAAACAAAAGAATCAAGCTTTTCCTTACTCAGAGGTTCTCCGTATCACAAACAATTTCGAAACTACAATTGGAGAAGGACGGTTCGGGAAAATTTACCTTGGCACTTCAGAAGATCATGCGCAGATTGCTGTGAAGTTGCTTTCCCCATCTTCAAGACAAGGGTATAAAGAGTTTCATTCAGAGGTTAGAAATAAATAAAATTGAAGTAATAGTTTTCAAAGTCAATTTTTTCTAATCAATTAATAGTGAATATATTCAAGTTTCATTTCAGAAGGATGTTCTTATTTAATAATGATAGAGCTCACTTTTAACTTGCAAGCACAACTCTTAGCAGTCATTCATCATAGAAACTTAGTTTCACTTGTTGGGTTTAGTGATGAAAACAACGTCAAAGCTTTGATTTATGAATACATGGACCTTGGAGACCTTGGCGGATTATTGTCAGGTTTGTCTAATATTATGCAACTAACTTTTCATTAATTACTGTATTTGTGGTTGTTGCCTTAAATATAGTAAAATCTGTCATATGTACTTTGACTTTCTTTAATTCACTTCACTCATTGGATTTTCAAACTCACATTTAAGACTGAATCCTCATGCACCATCATCATGTGCGTATCTTGGCTAGCTCGTGTGCACATTTCTTGATCAACGACTTTATGTTTGCAGATAAAAACCAAAATGTTTTAAAGTGGAGTGAGAGACTTCAAGTTGCTGTTGATGCAGCAAAAGGTTAAAGGATCTGTGATCTATTTTTCCCCTCTCTCTAACAATCACTTTCTACGTTTTTGACAAACTCAATTATTTTTATATATATTTGATATCTTTTATATGGGTTTTGTCAACTTAATTAATCCCTTTTGACCTTAATTAATTGATTAATTGATTTAATATGTTTTATTTTGAATTATTATTTTATAGGGGCAAAATTGTCATATTTTGGTTTAATTGTGACTAATTGATTTTTTGAGGACAATTAATGCTACCTTATCTTTGAATTTTTGCTTGCAGGTTTTTGGAAGATTTTGAAAATAAAAAAATCAAAAGAAAAGAAAAGAAAAAATAAATTAAAAAAAAGAAATAAAATAAAATAAAATAATAAAAGGGGGGAGCAAAACGCTGCGTTTTGCTCCACCCCTAATATCTAATATTACATTCATCATCAGGGGGACCCGGAAGAAAAACACGCCGAACGAGCAGAGAACGAAACACACACACGCGCGGGACGGCGGCTGGGAAAAACAGGGGACCGAAGCACGAACACAAGACGGAGACGCTGAGCGACGGCAGAGGTGGAACCTCCCTTCATCACCATCGTCTTCATCCCTTCTTCTTCTCAGCGCAACCACAGAACCAGCGACGGCACGAGGTCAACGAACCAGTGAACCAGAAGGAGTGAAATAGCGAAACAGAGGCTCACAGTGTTATCCTTAATCATCTTTTGCACTGTTCCGTCACATATCTTCCATGGCAAACCGCAAAAGAGCATTGATTGTGGCATTTTTCATGGCTATGCGTGGCTAGAGCTCTGAAATCCTCTAATTCAACAATAATGGCAGGAGTTCGAATCATCAAAGGAGAGTTTTAGTTGCTTTAATTTCTTATTCAATAATTGTTTAACAATTCCTAGGTCTTAGGATAGTTTCTCTGATTATTGGGATAATTGTATTGCTTAATCTGATTATATTTGGGGATTATTGTGACTGGATTATTGTAACACCTCACTTTTATATATACTAATAGGACCATTTTTAACGCCTGTAAATCACTAACGCCAGGTTTCCGTCCTGGGAAAAGACAGGGATTTTTTTTTTCTTTAACATTAGAATCCGTTGACCAAATATTTCAAAGCTTCAGATAACTGATGAGTGATCCAATATCAACCCTGCTTTCAACTTAATCTATTATCACCTAAAATGATTTCATTCTGTGCAATCTCTATTATGTTGGAAATATAGTAACCATCTTGGTTAATAGTACATGCTTGCACCCGGCAGTGCTCTCCTCATTATGCGGGATACAAAATAATATTTACATAAAGCAAGTCTAGTTACTTGTCCAAACATTTGCTATACAATTTACAGAATTATAACAAGTATCTCTACTCTTCAATCAGCTCACCTTCTTCTTAAACATCCTCCTTATCCTTCGAGTTACTAGCCTTCGCTGTTCATCATGAATTGGGGGGTGAGATTCCGAAGAATCCCCGTAGTAGTAATTTCCATCAAACAAATGTGCAGATCACATAAAACATGCAAAACAAGCCATATGGAACAAAACCTTGCAAGCTAATGCAATTAAGCATTTATGCACTATGACAGATAGACAAGCTGAATAAATAATGCGCAAATAATAGGCAATCACTGCCGCGCATATAATTGGCATCAATGCCCCATGTCGGTTAGACAAGCTGAATAAATAATGCGCAAATAATAGGCAATCACTGCCGCGCATATAATTGGCATCAATGCCCCATGTCGGTTAGACAAGCTGAATAAGTAAAGCGCAAATAATTGGCAATCACTGCCCCATGTCTATCAGCTACACGTGATCACGGCTAAAAATCCATGCAAGGAATTAAGGATTACATGTTCTCATGCTTTTTGAATAGCAATATGGCACAAACAGACATGCAGCAATCATACACAAGTGTAAGGGAGGAAAGAACTACTACCTGAACCTTCTGCTTCAAAATCAAACCCTACTTGTTTCCTTTCTCTTAGCTTCTTCGGTGGGCTTTTGCAGATATCAAAACCTATTATTTTAGTAAGGGTAGGTTAATGCTTGATCCAAC